CTCTGAGACATCTCTACAAATTCACTTTTCAAAGGTGTCTTTTTTAATGTGCTATTATTCATACAATTCCCTCATATTTCAAGATAATCTACTGATTGCTAAATAGAGAATTATAACTAAGATACAGCACGATGCTCAGGTTCTCCAAGCTGCAGCAAGCTTTACAAGGACAAAAGACAGCTCCCTTCTACCTGCAGCAAAAGCTTGCTAGGCAATACTTCCATTTGAGTCCATTATTCATCCAGCACCTAAAGTAAAAGCTTTATCTGTGTTGATTCACTTTTAGTCTCACAAAGTTCAGCGCTGTTGGTTTTAAATGATACCTCGGTAATTATGCCCGCAGAGCCTATCTGATAAACATCAAATTTTGCATACAAATTAAAAACAAATGAGAAGCCTAAAAAGGTTAGTGCTCAATTAGATATGGATCTAATTGTAATAACATTTTAGAGCTACTTTAGGATAATGTACACCTCTATTAAATATTATGAACCATATTTTAAGCAACTGAATGGATTAATCTTTATTTAGTCACACACTCTCACACCTACTTCCTTAATTCACTTCACTACATTAGAACTTGAAGGACTGCTATTAAAAAGAAACAAAAATCCAAAACCACAGGTTGTTCAAATTAAAAACAAAACAAAACCAAACCAACAAATAAAAATCCATGCAACCAAAGGAATCCACACAGACAAATTAAAAAAAAAAAGAAGCAAGGAGATATTTACTTTGTCAGGCAGAAGAGTATTTATAACTTGTTCATTTTTCTAACATTATTAGCAAGCATAAGTGTCTAACTGAAAAAATGTAATACATACTCCTTTCAGAGTCAAGCAGGCAATCAGAGCTAATCAAGACACAAGTTGTTCTCATCTCACAAATGTCACATTCTTTGCAGGAAGGAAAGATCTTAAGTAAATATCACCCTGTACAAATTTAGGAAAATTAACAACATGGAAGACAAAATGTCCAGCAATTAGGAAACCATGGCTCATTATGTCTTAGCCTGAACCCAGTGAACTGAATCAGTGGAATACAAAACCTTTTCCTTCTGATTTCTCCTCTTCATTATCATCTTCTTAAAATTAAGAAGAAAGGGTTCAGCAGCTGTTGGCAGCTGTTCCCTCCAGCATTTCAAAAACTGGTAAAGGTGACTGTCAAAATTAGTATGTGCAAATTGCTGAGAATTTTTTTCAATTCCTTCTATTTTAAGATATTAAGTCTACACTGACATAACAAAAAAAAAATAGCCTTGTTTTCCCTTGGAACCTATCTGTGGTTGGTTGAATGCTCTCTACACTCTCTTCCAATCCTCAGAAAATACCACTTTACTGTTCAAGTGTCCAACATTCAAAACAAAGCTTCAGAAGTTCTGGTCTTTGCTTGTCAAAGTGATTTTTACTTTTTAACATCACCCTCCCTTTCCCAGGGAATGTGCTGCATCATAAATTACTGAAAAGTCATATTGAACACAGCACAGGAAAGATTACTGTTACAGATGGACTATAATTCTAATCATGCACTTAGTAAAGATTTTTTTAGTATCAATATAAGCCCAGGGCATTCAGTCACTGAAACAACTGAAGTCTAGACACAGCAGCTACTTCAGTAAAAGATTCTGTTTGTACTGCCATGGAGACAATGGGTCCTCCCCTTGAGAGTCACTCAAGGGATGGTTTAAAAGACTTAAAAGGATTTCAGGTTCCTCATCTGCCCTTTGCTTCCTCACTCTGGTCTCCCTCTGCCAGGAATGTTCCATTTAGTCTGGCACAGCAGTGCAGGCTGGGCACAAAGCACTTGTTTGGATCCAGTTGCATTGTTTCTTACTATGTGGGACCCCAAGTTAACCACAGATGAACATGTCAGAATAGAAAAATTGCCAAAGCCAAGCAGGACACGTGAAACATCCCACAACTATGTAGCAGAAAAAAAAGCAAGAGTTCCTCAGTATTTGAAAATCATACATCTGGACAGGTGTGCCCTTTGAAGAAAAATCACAATTCTCCCTCACCAAGAGGCCATTAACATTTGTGTGAAGAACAATTTTACTGGTCAGTGAAAGCTATTCTTGCTGCTTATACTTTTGGTAGGTTTTTAATTACAGCCTGAACTGAGTAGAAAATGAGTTTGAGAGAAGCAGGGAAGAAATCCTTCCTTTTGCATTCAACTCCTCCATGCCACTGAACTCCTCCATGGCACTGACAGGAAAACTGGTGGAGCTGATGTCCTTGGGACATCTCGTGCCAAAGCTCTCAGCAGCTGATCCAACAATCTACTGCCCTTTCCCAGGCCTTCAGAACTGGGACTGGGAAAGGCTGAAATGTGTAAACATGAAAGCACTACCTAAGAACTGAGAAATTTGAAGGAAAACAGAAGTCCTTAGGAGTGACTAGAGATTCCTGCAGCCCTCTCTTACCAGCACTTTCAAGGGACAACAATTCAGTCCAAAGAACTCACTGCCTTAGTGTGGCCTCCTCAGAGTGTATGCAAATTACCACAATAAGTAACTTCTGGTAACTTTACCCCCACAGCTGAATTAATTCTTGGTAGGGGAGCCAGAAGGATCTGAACTCTAAATCCACAACCATCACAAATTGGCTGTAACACATTTATCTGTTCCTTTAACAGAAGTTTCAGTATCTCCCTTGTTTCACAGCAGAACAGTTTTAAGTAAGTGCTTGAAAAAGCAGACAATGAAAGAAAAGGGACAGGATGATAATCAGATAGGTATTTTCTTTCCATAACTGGCTATCAGACAGCTCTAGGGCATTCTAGAGAGAAATTAAGGGACTTGTTACATGCAAGAGCTGCCTAAGTTACAGGGAGAACTCAAATGCAGGGGTACAGAGGCAGGAGACATAAATGTAGGTACAAAATATTTTGTAAATATAGGTACAAAACATTGAGACTCCTTAAGGAAAAAAAAGTCACAGAGACAAACTGACAGATGGTGAAGCATTAGGTTTGTTTTGAAGTTAATTTGAAATAACAAGACTCTTCCCATGGCCTCACATAAAGCATTACATTTTGAATTGTGTCCATAAAAGCTGTATAGTTCCCTGGTATGTATTTTAAGGGCTTGCTCCTTTTTTTAATTGAAGGCAACAGCAGAACTTGAATATGAAACAGATGAAATTCTCACATATTGACCATATGCTGATATACCACATTCCCATGCCTATTCTTGTGACACTCTCATTACACTGGAATTCTGTACATTTTCAGAATGACACATCACAGTGCTCTCACTTCTATTGCTTCCATCCTTCAGCTCATTTTATTCTCCTGTTTCAGTGAGGTTTATGCTCATCCCTCCTCTTCATGATCATCTGTTTTTCAGCTCTGCCATCTTCATGGAAAATATTCCATTGCCCTATTGTAACTTCCCATCACAACATTCTCAAGCCACCCAGAACTGTGGCAGTCCCCCTATGCCTTTGTTTTCCAAGTTTTCAGTCTCAGGATTCTATGACTGAGTCTTGAAATCGCCCCGAGAGGTTTGAATACCCCTCGTCCATGAAATTTAACAATATACCAAAATCCTTAGGCTGAAAATATTGCCACTAATTCTAAATACAATACATTCAGAAAAAAATGCAATTTTGTGTCTTATGAAAGGGCAGTCAAGGTCAAACAATCAGGTAGCAATACAGGCACAACAGCAGAAGCTTAATAAATGCTGTAAGGCCTTTGCAAGAACCTTTCCCACCTCTGCCAACTGCTGAGATATTCATCTGGAGCTACAAGCATTCCTCCCCAGCCAGTTCACATCTGTTGAGAAGTAAATACACTTCTGCAGGCTAGAGAAAAAAAAACATTTCCTGCAGATCCCTGTAATTGCTACAGAGACCAGACTCAAATTATTTGCCTCCTTTTTAAAAAAAAAAAAAAAAAAAAAAAAAAAGCTTTCCTTTTAGTCTGTGGTAACCTTTCAACTGCCAGTGATGATCAAAAGAAAAATGAAGAAAAAAAAAATCAACATTCCAAACTGGACTACATTCTTTTCAGAACTGAACAGAATTATTTATAAAAATATTCTGGTTTGCCATACAGTTTTGTAAGTACAAATTTTTAGCTGCACTTTCTGTGTAAAGTAAGTCTAGAGTTTTATACTTCCTGACTGAAAAGATAGAGGGTTGCCAGAACTTCCCCCTCACTGCACAGAAATGTAATACTATGCAATGAAATTCAGCCTGCAGAACAGATGCCTCCTTGAATAGAAACTGCAATGGGAAGGCTTCTGAACTGTAAATCTAAGATAAGTAAATCTAAGATAAGCTGGGACATCCTGATGCTCATCTGAACCTGAACTCCAGACAATATGAAGCTCACATATCACTGATAATTAAACACTGTTGTGGGTTTTACTCCAGAATCGCTGTCAGAGATAAGAATTATTACAATTGCTGTGATATTATTAGATTATTTATTGATTTCAAAGAATTTCAAAGGAGGTTCTTCATAACTAGAAATTGAGGCACACCCCAGAAGGAATGAAAACATGAAGGAAAGCTGCAAAGGAGATACAAATAGGGATGTTCCCTGTTTAGTTACAATGCCAGGAGGGCTGAGGTCTCCTTCCCCAAGCACTTCAATAGTAGGAACCCTCTCACCTGTATTTCCAAGCAGACCAAAGGTATCACACTCACTGACAAATTCAAGCCACTCACTTGAAAAAGCATTTACATTTATGTGCAATATTCCCTGTCACAGTGATTATACCTGAGGTTAATTACATTCTAAAGATAATTTAACTTGAATCACATCTTAATCTTCTCAAACACATTCAAGCATGTCCATAGCCCTTGGCCTCGAGATCCAAGGTAGTGGAAGTGAGGGTTAAAACATCCTGGAAAAGAGCAGGGTTGGGGTGGAGAGGAGTGGCAGAGGAACACAGAGAGCAGACAGCCTGGTTTTCCAACATGCAATTCAGGCAAGTACCATTTGGCAATGTCATTTGGTAACTGCTGCTTTTCCCCTCTGTTTTTGCCCAGATCCCACTGTCCATGAACATGTCAACGTTCCTGGCCTACGAGCAGCCCACACTGAGCTACTGCGGGGTGCACCACGAGCTGCTGGCCCACAAGGCCTACGAGGGCAGCAGGCAGGAGGAGGCCATGGACACGGGCCTGGAGGCTGAGCTGGACCTGAGCACCATCACCACGGCAGCACGGAGCAAGGAGCACGGGCAGCAGCTGCCCTAGGGAATCCTGGAGCAAGGAGCACGGGCAGCAGCTGCCCTAGGGAATCCTGGAACAGGGAGAGCAGGGGCAGCAGCTGCCCTAGGGAATCCTGGAACAGGGAGAGCAGGGGCAGCAGCTGCCCTAGGGAATCCTGGAACAGGGAGCAGGAGCAGCAGCTGCCCTAGGGAATCCTGGAACAGGGAGCAGGAGCAGCAGCTGCCCTAGGGAATCCTGGAGCAGGGGCAGCAGCTGCCCTAGGGAATCCTGGAGCAAGGAGCACGGGCAGCAGCTGCCCTAGGGAATCCTGGAACAGGGAGAGCAGGGGCAGCAGCTGCCCTAGGGAATCCTGGAACAGGGAGAGCACGGGCAGCAGCTGCCCTAGGGAATCCTGGAACAGGGAGCAGGAGCAGCAGCTGCCCTAGGGAATCCTGGAACAGGGAGCAGGAGCAGCAGCTGCCCTAGGGAATCCTGGAGCAGGGGCAGCAGCTGCCCTAGGGAATCCTGGAGCAAGGAGCACGGGCAGCAGCTGCCCTAGGGAATCCTGGAGCACGGGCAGCAGCTGCCCTAGGGAATCCTGGAGCAAGGAGAGCATGGGCAGCAGCTGCCCTATGGAATCCTGGAGCAGGGAGAGCACGGGCAGCAGCTGCCCTAGGGAATCCTGGAGCAAGGAGCACGGGCAGCAGCTGCCCTAGGGAATCCTGGAGCAAGGAGCACGGGCAGCAGCTGCCCTAGGGAATCCTGGAACAGGGAGAGCAGGGGCAGCAGCTGCCCTAGGGAATCCTGGAACAGGGAGAGCACGGGCAGCAGCTGCCCTAGGGAATCCTGGAGCAAGGAGCACGGGCAGCAGCTGCCCTAGGGAATCCTGGAACAGGGAGCACGGGCAGCAGCTGCCCTAGGGAATCCTGGAACAAGGAGAGCAGGGGCAGCAGCTGCCCTAGGGAATCCTGGAGCAAGGAGCACGGGCAGCAGCTGCCCTAGGGAATCCTGGAACAGGGAGAGCAGGGGCAGCAGCTGCCCTAGGGAATCCTGGAACAGGGAGAGCACGGGCAGCAGCTGCCCTAGGGAATCCTGGAACAGGGAGAGCAGGGGCAGCAGCTGCCCTAGGGAATCCTGGAACAGGGAGAGCACGGGCAGCAGCTGCCCTAGGGAATCCTGGAGCAGGGGCAGCAGCTGCCCTAGGGAATCCTGGAACAAGGAGAGCACGGGCAGCAGCTGCCCTAGGGAATCCTGGAACAAGGAGAGCACGGGCAGCAGCTGCCCTAGGGAATCCTGGAACAAGGAGAGCACGGGCAGCAGCTGCCCTAGAGAATCTTGGAGCAGGGGCAGCAGCTGCCCTAGGGAATCCTGGAACAGGGAGCAGGGGCAGCAGCTGCCCTAGGGAATCCTGGAACAGGGAGCACGGGCAGCAGCTGCCCTAGGGAATCCTGGAGCAGGGAGAGCAGGGGCAGCAGCTGCCCTAGGGAATCCTGGAACAGGGAGAGCAGGGGCAGCAGCTGCCCTAGGGAATCCTGGAACAGGGAGAGCAGGGGCAGCAGCTGCCCTAGGGAATCCTGGAGCAAGGAGCACGGGCAGCAGCTGCCCTAGGGAATCCTGGAACAGGGAGAGCACGGGCAGCAGCTGCCCTAGGGAATCCTGGAGCAAGGAGCACGGGCAGCAGCTTCCCTAGGGAATCCTGGAGCAAAGACACAGACAGCAGCTTCCCTAGGGAATCCTGGAACAGGGAGAGCACGGGCAGCAGCTGCCCTAGGGAATCCTGGAACAGGGGCAGCAGCTGCCCTAGGGAATCCTGGAACAGGGAGAGCACGGGCAGCAGCTGCCCTAGGGAATCCTGGAGCAGGGAAAGCAGGGGCAGCAGCTGCCCTAGGGAATCCTGGAGCAGGGGCAGCAGCTGCCCTAGGGAATTCTGGAGCAGGGGTTGCACCCAAACCCTGGGGGAAGCTATGGACACCAATGAGCAGGCAGTTCTGTGGAGTGTAGGACCCTGTGCAAATTAAAAGTCAATCACAAAGATTAATTGTTTCCAGTCTACACTTTGTAATTAGTTCAGTTGTGCAGTATTTTTTTGACTTCAGAGTATGACCCTTGGAAGTGAATCTTTTTCAAAACTCATCCTACCTACCTGTATAAACTGTACAGATGTAATGTATTTTTCATATTGTAAAGTTTCAATTACCAAGAACAACTGGTATGTACAGTGCCATAATTTAATTTCATCTTACTTTACAAGCTTCAGTTTCTAAAGCTTCAAATTAACAAAAGTTATTCCTCGTGTTATTAAGTTACTCTGTTTTGTAGGGATCATTTTGTTACTGCTTTTGTGCCCAGACAACTTTAATCTAAAATTCTGTCCTTTGCAGAATATGCACCATTTTTACTGTGTTTAATGTGTAGAATTTTATCTACTGGTTCCAGAGGGAGGGCTTAACTATTCAAACTTCTAAGAAATTCCTGAAATATATATATATATTTCCTAGAAATGAAAACTAAAAAAAAAAATTAATTCTTCTCAAACTTACCTGTTGCCTTGAAATATAGCCTGGTTTTTAACAAGAAAGCTTGGTTATGCAACTGTTAGTCAAGGCTGATAATATTTTATTAACTCTCACTGTTCTGCAAGACAATACAGGACAGGAGACTTCAAGAGGCAGCTACAAAATCTGCTGTGAGTCTGCCAAATCAGGCATTTGTATTTCTGCTTAAAGACAAAGGGGTCGAAAACCTACTTCTGTCACAGGCAGCTGCTGACAGAAGTGGCAACAGAAACAAATCCTTATACTACTCCTAGAATGTAAAATGTCACTCAAAAGAAACATCCACTTGCTGAAAAATCTAGTAATTTGGAAAAAATGCTAAAAGTTTACAGTCCTTTAACATTATGATAAAGCAGACAAAGAAAAAGCCCAAAACTTTTAAAGAAAAAAAAACTTAATGTAGTATTAAGTCTTTAACAATTACTACATTGCTTATTTGTCTGTCATTTAATATCTGGATTGAAGCATTCTTATACCCCATTCTTTTGTTTTAAATCTTCAAGTCTTCTCAACACTGTATGAGAGTAACTTTTTATACCACTACACACTACCCTGTAATCATAAAAGATTACAGAAACTAGGAAGACATTATATCATGCTGACTCTGTGAAAAACAAAATGGGAACACAAGCCTTCCAAAATATAGGGGAAAAAAAGTTTCATATGGTGAAGCAACTTTTTTATAATAAAGAGAAATTATATAACCTCAAATCTATTTTTCTGGATCTTTATCCTACCATATTTTCATGTAGTTTCAAAGCAGAAGACTGAATTTTAAAATTACAGGGCAACTGTTTGTACAAAACAAGGTGAATAGAATGAAAATCAGCTTCAAAAATTGGTAACAATTCAATCTGCATTCAGTACCTGTTAAGTAGAAACAAAGTGTCAAAAGAAAATACATTATACTGCTTATTTATTAGCACTTCGATTTTGTAACATATTTTGCATAAATTATTTCCTCTTCAAAACATTAATTGTCTTTTTAAGACACACCTTACACCTGCACACTTGAGTTCTGTATTTCTTCACTACCCTGGTTCTTGAATCTGTTACCTTCCACAGTGCGGGAATTTTCCTACATGTAAGTTTGAAAATACATTTTGCTAATTGCCCACTGCTAACAAACATGCAGGAGTCACTCTGGAGCCCAGAGCTGCTCAGGCTGCAGGAAGAATTACCTGACTCACTCCACAGCTGGTTTTGAGGTGCAATGTTTTGGCATTCTGGCTACTGGAGCAGGCCTGAGCTGGAAGGAGCAAACACCACCCTCCCAAAAGGTGCTTTCAGTTGTTCTGCTCTGTGCTTCCTCCCCTGTGCTTGGACCTGCTGCCCTGGAGCATTGACAGTGTGTGAACAAGGGCCTGGCACTAAGGGAGCTCCTCCAAATGCCCAGGTTCCAGCCCCAGCACTGGACACTGGTGAGCTTAGACTGGGGAACATGAGAAAAGGTTCTCTTATGCAGAGACACAAGAAGGTTTGGATGAATGTTTAAAGAGGCACAGCTGGGCAGATATTCACATACACACCAACATTTTCCCTTTTCTCTTCCTCAATCATGAACCAAAGACTGCCAGTTCCAGATGTCACAGGACAAATGGCAGAAGCAGAGTTACAGAATCAGCCCCTGACAGATCCCTCATACTCTCCCAGTCATTTCCCAGACATCTGAAACACCAGGCTCTCTGCAACCCCAGCAGGCCCCTCCACTGCTCTGCAAGATGGATCCAGCACCCAGGGCCCAGAGCAGCAGGGGGTGTGTGGGGTGTGTGCTCACCCCAATCCCAGACTGCTAAAACATACTCAGTGGATACCCTTGTTTAACATGGACTACATCAGCCTGAAACTTGCTATTCTCAGTAAGACAGATGTCTTCAAGAAAGCTAGATGGCAGGTAGGTACCTTCTCTAAAAGATCCTCATGATGAAGAAACCTAAGTAAGGCCAGCTCAGAAAAAGAGCCACTCCTGAATCCTCACCTCAGCCTGTGCACAGCTGCGTGCCAGCAGATTGCTGCCAGCTGGGCTCTGATTCTGGCTGCACAGCAACAGGAAATGCTTTTGCTCCATGGATAAAACAGAACAGTATCCCCAATAAAGCCCCAGCCTCCTAGCTAAGTTAGCAAGAAGAAAGGAGTCTGTAGGTTCAAGTATTTAACAAGAGGGGGTCACTCCCATGTATCATTTCCCTTTGCAGCAAGAGCCACACCCCAGGAACAGAGGCAGCCAATGGCACCCACCTCTGTCTCCACCTCAGTTCAGTGACACCACCAGACCCTGGCAGGTCCTTTTACCAAGAAAAGGCTGAGGGAAGTCATTAAACTTGCAAAATACAGACTGAGAGACAATATAACCTCTAGCAATGAAAACCCGAGACAATGTTAAAAATAAACCTAGCTCCAAGCAACAATTCCCACCATCATCCATCAGTGGATCGTGCTGGTGCAGCAATGCACAGGGCTGAAACACCCACCAGCAAAGCAAGCCCAAGTAGCTGACTGGAGCTCCTC